GCGAAGCGCGGCGACTTTCAGCTTAGGGGGCGTAATGGCTGAGTGGTTGGCGCGCCGGACTCCCGTGTGGGAGCCCAGGTTCGAATCCTGGTTGCGCCATGGCCCCTGAGCACTATTATAGCCAATGCAGTCGGTTCATAGAGCTAAATGAAGATGGCGGTTCAAAAAGTGACGTAGCGACGTGCGTCGCGTCTCCTTAAAAAAGGATTTTCAAATCGCTGCCGACTACGCGCCTTTAACGCCCGTCACAAAAGATCACTGCTTACTCCAGGCCAAGGGCCGGACCGTCGTTTCGAGTTCCGCGTTGGCGAACGAGAGGCATCTCAGCACCACGACCTGCCGTGACCCCAGGCGTGTGCTGACGTTTCAGGCACCAAACAGGAGCTGCCCCCATCATCAAGGGCATCAAAGACGGGCGGCGGGGGCCTCACCGCGGGAGGAGTACACTTTTTCAGGGTGAAGGAAGCCCGGCGTGCGTACGCCTGCTAGGTGCATACCTTGCGGCGGTCGAAACGCCTTAGATGTGAGTAGTTCGTGTGGACTCTTGGTGGGCCTCGCAGTCACGGTGAAGGGGCGTGCCGTGGGTGATTTAACGGCAGATTGCCTAGATTACGTGGAAAAGGATCCCCATTTTGCCCTAAAACTGCCTTAAATTTTACGCAGACTTTACACTTCTTAACATCACTTGCACTTGACGCAGACTTCTATTACTTCTTAACATGGCTTGCATTTGATGCAGACTTTTACCATTCTTAACATGACTTGCGTTTGACGCAGACTCACTTGACCTACGATCGCCGCATCTTCCCACTTCATACCGCCGCTTTATCTTCAACGGCTCACCTCGAATTCACCACTTAAGTTCATCATCTCTCCGCCCCGCGGTCAAGTGAAGCGTGGTGGGACTGCCGAAAGAAAGGGCGATTGCCAAGTCCACTTTAAAGTTAACATACAGATGTCACCACAATAGACGCAATATGCGTTAAGTTTCCAAAAAAGTGGGCGGGGGATAAATTTGATGCAGACTTTTTCACCTCTTAACACCCGTTTGTTCGAACACCTCCGCTGGTAACTCCCCCCTCTCCCCCATCAGGCACCAAGTACATATTCCTGTCGGGCGTGGCCAACAAGTGCATCCGCGCCAAGAAGGCCAAGGTGGGTCTGCACGCCTCCATGACGTCGAAGACGGTCGTGGTGGCGCTGTACGCGGACCCCGTGCAGCACGGCGAGTGCGCAGCCGTGGTGGAGAAGTTCTCCGACTTCCTCAAGAGCAAAACTACTAGTGGAAAGGAGCGAGCGAGCGGTGGAGCGTTGGGTTTGACGTTGCTAGGATAGGAGCGAAGTG